TTTTGGTTTTGTTTTGTTTTTTTTTTTTTTTTATTTTTTTTTTTTTTTTTTTGAAGGTTTTTGTTATTTTGTTTTTCTTGTAATATCTTTGTCTGGTTTTGGTGTCAGATTAATTCTGATCTTATAAAGGAACTAGGGAGTTTTCCCTCCTATTCAATTTTCTGGAAGAGACTGTGCAGAATTGGCATTATTTCTTCCTTAAAACTAGTAGAATTCACTGGTAAAGCCAAATAGACTACAGATTTTCTTTTTTTTTAACTATAATTTCAATTTCTTTAATAGACATAGGTCTATCAGGATTCTTTATTTCTTCTTTACTCTTAATATTTATAGACTCTATACTGATGTTACCTCTCTCATCCCTGATATTGGTAATTAGTGTCTTCTTTGATATTTCTTGATCAGTTTGGCTAGAGTTTTATCAGTTTTATTGACCTTCTCATTGGTCAATAAAATTTGGTCTCATGAATTTTCTCTATGGTTTTTCTATTTTATTGATTTTCACTTTGATTTTTATCATTTATTTTCTTCTGCTTACTTTAGGTTTAATCCATTCTTCTCTTTTACTTCCTTGAAGAGGAAATTGGGGTCATTGATTTGAGGTCCTTTTTTTTCTAATACAGGCATTTAGTGCTATAAATTTCCCTCAATGTCCTGCTTTAAAGCATACCACAAATTCTGATATGTTGTATTGTCTTTTAGTACAAAATGCTTTATCATTTCTCTTTTGATCCTTTCATGATTCATGGATTATTTAAAAGTAATTGAGTTTCCAAATATTTGGGGATATTTTTCAGGGACCACTTTATTATTGATTTCTAATTCAATTCCATTGTGGTCTCAGAATAATACTTAGCATGACTTGGATCCATTTAAATTTATTGATACTTGTATGATATACTAGATTTTGGTCTAATTTGGTAAATGTTCCCTGTGCACTTGAGAAGAATGTTTTCTGTTGGGTGGAGTATTCTATAAATGTTAATTAGATCAAGTTAGCTGATAGTGTTGTTCAAGTCTCTTATAGTTTAGCAGATTTTCTTCTAACATGATTATTGAAAGAGATTGAAATCTCTGATTATAATTGTGGGTTTGTCTATTTCTCTTTGCCATTATGTCACTTTTTGCTTCTTATATCTTGAAGCTCTTTTATTAGGTACATAAATGTTTAGCATTATTTCCTTTTGATTAAAGTTCATAATGAAATGAACTTCTTTACTTCCAGCATTATTCTTTGCTCTGAAATCTAAGTTGTCTGATAGTAATATAGCCACTCAAATTTTCTTCTGATTACTATTAGTGTGATGTATCTTTTTCCATCCTTTTACTTTTAACCTATATGTATCTTTACATTTAAAGTTTGTTTCTTAACGTAAGTATTTAGTTGGGTCTTGCTTTTTAAAACCTAGTTATATCCAACCTTGGTCTCTTAACTGAAGCATCTAGATAATTTACATTTAATTTGATTACTGATGATTACATTTGAATGTATTGCCCTTGTTACTTGTTTCCTATTTTTTCCATCTATTCTTTTTCCCTTTTCCTCTTTTCTGCCTTCCTTTGGATTATTTTTGACAATTCCATCATATCTCATTTGTTGCCTTATTGTCTACCACTTTTTGTTATTTTAGTAGTTACTCTAGGGCTTATAGATCTTTAATCAGTCTATCTTTAATTGTTATTATACCACTTCCTATATAGCATAAGAACCTACAATAGTGTACTGTCTTTTTCCCCCATTACCTTTATACTATTCTCAGATATTTACTTTTATATGTTATAAATCCTATGATATATGGTTATTTGTTAAAACAGTTGCCTTTTAAAGATACTTAAATAATAAAAACTAAATTTTATATAATTATTTATATAGTTTCCATTTCTGGTACCCCTCATTCTTCTATATAGATCCTAATTTCTATCTGATATTATTTTTCTTCTGCCTGAAAAACTTCAACATTTCTTATACTACTTGTCTGCTAACAATAGATTCTTTCAATATTTTTATATCTGAAAAAAGTTTCATTTTTTTCTTTTAAAATGTATTTTTGCTGGATATTGGTTGACTCTTTTCTTCCTTTCAGTATTTTAAAGATGCTGCTCCACTGTCTTCTCACTTGCATTATATCCAGTGAAACATCTGATGTCATCCTTATTTTTATTCTCATTTATGTCTTTTATCTCCTTTTAAAATTTTCTCTTTGGATTACTAAAGGTTCTAAAGAGAAAACTCTGATAAGCAAAGAAGGTACACTTTGTATTGCTCTTACACATATTTTTGGAAGCTATTTTGCTTGAAGGGAATTATTAAGCTAAAAAAGTTTATATGACTTTATAACACATTATTCAAATGATATCCACAATTTTACGAACAACCAGTAAAGTACATACTTTTGTCAGAAATCCTAAACCTTGTATACCAATAAACTTTATTTGAAGACCTGAACTGGCATCCTATCTCTGTCACTAACTGTGTAACAATAACCATGTCAATATACCTTCAATCCTCAGGTGATTTAAAAATACAATATGGAAAAAGATTCTTACTCATCCATAGGTTGTTACTAGGCTCACAGAAGATATTTTATATAAAAACACTATATAGCAGGCGTCCTCAAACTATGGCCCGCAGGCCACATGTGAGTGTTTTTGCCCGTTTGTTTTTTTTACTTCAAAATAAGATGCAGTGTGCACAAAAATTTGTTCATAGTTTTTTTTAAACTATAGTCCAGTTCTCCAACAGTCTGAGGGACAGTGAACTGGCCTCTTGTTTAAAAAGTTTGAGGACCCTTGCTATATGGATTCAATTTGCTGTCATTTGTTTATTCATTCGACAGACATCTGTATCTATGCCCAAATCTCATGCCAGGCCCTAGGAATACAATGTCAAATAAGATGCTCTATCTGCCCACAAGAACTTAAACCCAGGATGGAAGATGGACATGTAAACAAAGCAGTTACAGGCACTAAATGGCAGAAATATGGACAACGCCCAGTGGGGAGAGGAGAGAGGGTTCAGTTCTGAGGGGGAAGGTTTGTGTCCAAAGAGGCTATGAATGAGCTCTGCTCATCCACTCTGGAGTCCCCTATCCCTTATTCTTTCTCTCATCCTAAAATCAAGCTATGTCTCTGTTTCTTTATAACACCACAGTCTTTTATCTCAATTTTAAATCTGAAAAGCTCTCAAAACCTGTACTTTTTTTCTAACTTATTTGGTGGCAAAATCTGACCTGAACTGATTGATATAAGACTTTTTTTTATCATCAGTATTTTTCCTACTTGCCAGGATCTCCTGGTTAATTATTTCTTTACCTACCTATCATGTAAGTCAGGAATTTAGCCAGCTATGGCTTCCTCCTTCCCCAAACCAGACTGCACAAAGTCCTGTCAATTCTAGCCCTCAAATATGTATCCTAGCTATTCTCCCCTCTCTATTCCTCCAGCTATTGCCTTAGCCAAGGCCTTCATCATCTCAGCTGCACCATTACAAAAATCTTCTGAATCTCCTCTAATAATGATCCTCACAATTCAGCCTCCACATTGTGGCCAGCTTAATCCTTCTCAAAAGAACATCTGATCATGTATTATATAGTCTCCTTGCTTAAAATACTCTGATGTCTTTGCACTCTCTATAGAAAAAGCTAAAATTCCTGAGTATGGTATAAAAGGTTGGCCAACATACAGCCACAACATACCTCTTATGACTTGTCTCCCAGCACTCTATTTAACACACACTTCCGGGCATAACTGTGGTTCCCAGGAGGTGCCAATTTGTTTCATGCCCCTTTGCCATCACACAAGCTTTCCCTGTGCCCTTAAATGTTCTTTTTTTCCACCACACTCTCTTGTTCCTGCTTATCTACCGGGCTTACTATCAACTTCAGATCTGACGGAGAAAACCTCATCATGCATCTTTCCTTTTCCCTGTTCCAGGCAACAGTGACCACGCCCCTGCCTTTGTATATTTCTGAACATAAACTTAATGTCTCTGAGGCCAGTAGACTGAGACTCCTGGAATGCTGGGATCACTACTTATCACTAGTGTCTAACATTGGACCGAGCACATAGTAGGTTCTCAAAAAGTGAAAAATCTTTTCAACTTTCCCAGACAATGTCTCACCCTACTCTTTCCTCAGCAGCTCTCCCCCTACGGCATCTCGTACAACTGTTCCTCTATTATTTTCTCTAGTTTATACTCTTCTTTTCTGCTTCATTATCAGAAGAAAAAGAAGCCACCTTTAGGGAGTGACAGTAGCCCTGTGCCAGGGTTTCTTACCCTTGGCACTAATAATATTTTGGGTCAGATAACTATCTTTGGGGACTGCACTGCACATTGTAGGATGTTTAGTAGCATCACTGGCCTCTACCCCCTAAATGCCACTAGCATCCTTCCTTAAAACATCTCCAGACATTGCCAAGTATACCCAGGGGGTAGGGGGTAAAAGGGGCAGCCAATTGGGGGTGAAATCTCCCCTGAGAACCACTGCCCTAGACTGACTTTTCTTGATTACCTCAGGAAACAACATAGCAAAGCTGATCAACGGTCTCCTGTACTGACTATCCACCAGACAAAAAATAATGAGGGAAGAAGATTCAGATACATCAGTTTACTGTTTAGGGAGTGTATGACCAACAAATGCAGGCTGGAGTGACACTTCAGGGAAGGACAGCATTCAGTGGGCCTGAAATGAATCCACTTTGTCACAGCACGAGAGTTCCAGGTTGCAGGATTAGTTTTGTATTTTCTTGGGTTTGATTTATTCAGTGCTACTGAAATGACCAGCTAGAGGGATACATTGATGCAGCAATTTAATGCTATTAAATTCTCCTCATATCTTTTTTAAAAAGAGATAGCATATTTAAAATTAAAATAAACTGAGTAAAGCATTAAATCACAAAGAGAGAAAAGAAGAGAAGAGAAATCATGCAAACAGCATAGGAAATTAGAATGTCTCAGGGACGAAAAAGAGAAAGGGCTAGAACCCTGGCACGGTACCCACCTGTAGTTGACACAACTTCCTCAGGGCTTTCACTGCAAAGCTTTGACAACAGACTTGTCTTGCCAGAACCTGTGAGGCCTATGCAAACCAGGTCATATTCTGGGCGTGCAGGTGGTGGTCCCTTGCAGCAAAGTGCTCTAAAACACTGCCAAGAGAGGGAGAAAAAATGTGGTTCTTTAAAATAAGATTGTGGAAACAAACCTTAGGAACATTTAACATGACTAAATAAATATTAAGACTGTTTAAGTAATTAAACAAACTGTTAATTATAAGGAGGAAAATGGTACCTTAAGAATGGAGAAACCACCTTAACCAAGTGATCAAAGTGAACATCCTTAGTCAGGAGACATATGTCTACCGCGTGGCAGGTGTGCCGCAAGGGGCATGACATCATCACACAGGATTCCTGCCAAAGCTACACAACCCAAATCTAAGCATGAGGAAGCCAGATAACATCAATCTGAGGGGCATTCTGTAAGACAGCTGGCCTCTTCTCCTCAAAAATATCAGTGTCTTAAAAGTCAAAGACAGACTGAGGAATTGTTCCAGGTTAAAGACGACTAAAAAGGCATAATAATGAAATGCAATGCATCTTGGACTGGATCCTAGATCAAGAAGAAGAAAAAAAAAATGCCATAAACAACATTATTGAGACAATAGGTGAGGACTGAATACAGATTTCAGAAGGTTAAATTTCCTCAGTGTAATAATTGCACTGTAGTTATGTAAAGAAAACCACTGTTCTGAGAAACCATTCTAAATATTTAGAATGCTTCTAAGTTTTTAGAGGTGAAGAATCATGATGTCTTTGATTAACTGGCTCAGAAAAATTCTAAATTTCTATACCTCCATCTCTACCTGGTGAGGAGAGTGATAAAGCAAATGTGGTAAAATGGTAATGACTGGTGAAACTGAGAGAACAGAAAATTCCTTCTTCTAGTCTTACAACTCTTTGGTATCATTTGATATCAATTTAAAACTCATTAAATTGAATCCCTGTATATATCACTATCGTCCTTGTCTTGGCTAAACTCTGTTTCAGGTCAACTGACCTCAGGGTACTATGAACTATTGTGCATGTCGTTAGTGTACCACACACACCTATTTGCTCTGCAAGAATTAAAGACAAGGGGATATGGTAGACAGAATATTGTTCATGTAGTTATTGATCTTTCTATTTACCCCATATCCATTTCTTAGGGGACAAGTATGTTCCAGAGCCTGTTATAGAGCCTGAAAAATTTAGCCCTGAATGACTCATGAGAAAAAGAAAGAGGAAGAGAGGGAAGTAGACCTACTCACTTCTGGGTCATCTGGAGATCATGACAGAAAAGACCTATAAGAAGCTTGTGTTAATTCTTCTCACTCAGATAAAAATCTGAGTCCTAATTGGCTGTCATACTCTCATAAATCAAGCTTGATTATTTCTCTCCCTCATTTCTCACATCTAGTCAATAAATCTAGTCCATATGACCTCTGACGTAGCTCCAGAATTGGTCTGCTTCTCTCCAGCCCAGGCCACCATCGCCTGGATAACATTGACATTCTCTCTCACTGCTTCCAGCACATTCATTCTTATACTCCCTATTCTCTGCACAGCAGCCATTGCAATTGTGCATAAAAAGAAAATCTGGTAGATCTGCTTAAATCACATCAGCGACTTCTCCCAGCTCTTGGGCCCAAACTCTTATCATGGTCTACTCCACACTTCATGATCTGCTGCAGCCAACACCTCCAGCCATGCTGACCCTCTCTCACCTCAAGGCATATACTGTGCTGCTCCATATTCCCCCAACTGGGCTTAGCCAATTAATTCCCCATCAGTTTTCAGGTCTCAGCTTACTCACAAGCCTTCCTCAGGGCAGTCTGCTCTGATCCCAAGACTGTGCTAGCAATTCATGTCAAGCTCTGCAGCACTTGTGTGAATTCATCACACAAACAATTACAGTCTTTTATTCATCACCAGACTGTGAGAATCATGTCTGTCCACCTCCACCCCAGTATCCCCAGTGCCTAGCAGAAGATACAGCACAGAATCTATCCTCAGTGAATAATTGTTGAATGAAGAATGATTGATATTTAAATTTCACCTAAGAAAAGAAAAAAGAAATCATAACGGTTAATAGGACACTTTTATCTATACTCTCCAGGCCCCTCATGCTTCAAGAAAATAGTGCCAAAATAAGAGAAACTCTTAACTTTTTCACTTTACTTCAATGCCAGAAGTTAGCCTAGTTCCCAAAAGAGTGATTTTGATGTACAGGATCAACTTTCTTAGTAGATTAGAACTTCTTCTTGTCCTAAATTCATTTTTCCTCAGGGTTTCTTTTTGGAGGTTCTGCCTACTTTTGGTAAACAATTCTATGCCCCATATTCTTCAAGGATTTATTCAGCTGTATTCGTATTACCTCTCAGTCTTTTCAAGCTGGAGGATTCCTACTTATTTCAGCTCGCTTTCATATACCAGCCTCTCCTACTCATACTGGGCGCTCTTCCTTGGTCTCACTTTAGTTCCAGTATGCTTTCTCCTACAAAATTAATGACCACAACTACCAACAACACTCTAGATGCCAACACATCATATCCCGGATTTGTGTCAAGGTTGGCTGATGCTGACTGACTTTTTACAAACTTTTTATAAAGTCTGTGTCCCAGACTCATGATGAGAGTTTTTCTCAGAGACAGACTTATGTATGCGTGTATGTTATGTATGTATGCACATATGTATTCTCTCCAAGATGGCCGCTAACTAGCAGCTGTTCACACTTAGGAGAGGTCTTCCATGTTCAGTTATGGCAGGCGACAACACGAGTCACCTAGTTTCTCATACTAGGCTGCTTTGGTCTTTGTTGAGAAGGGAAAAGGGGAGAGACTCTGTTCCTGCTCTGGAGACCCCCATTGTCACTCAGCTCCTCTGCAAGAATTCCTCTGGACTATCTCCTGGAGGGGGACTTGCCCAACTATCATAAATCTTAAATACAATATTATATTATATGTGACTAACTTCTATATCATCCTGTTTAAATTGCTTGTATATCACTCAACATATTTTAGCCAAAAGTTCTCCCAATTTCATCTTCATGTTCTTTTTTAAAATCTAGCACATAAAAACTGTGCAGCCAAGCCCATTAATATCTATATCACCTATTAATTTATTCTAGGTCACCTGATACATCTGACATAAAAGACAATTTAGCAGTGACATTCCCCTTCTTCTTTGTTCTTTTCTTTTTATATTCTTGCCAGTGATGTCATCTCCACTCCTATGGTTCCAATCACATAATGGTAAAGACATCCAACATGACATCTCCCCCAGCACCTCCCAGATCTTTTTCCTGAACTCCAGGCTCTATAGTTCCAACTGATCTGTAAGAACCCAAACTAAAACTGAATAAAACAATATCCTCCCCCCAAAACCAGTGGCTATGGAAATAAGGTATTTTGGAACACAAAAACTAGATTGATAGTTATTATAAAGAAGATTCTTTGAAATAAATAGCAGATTTCTTAGAAATAAATATGTACTTGAAATAAATAAATGAATAAATAAATCCATCCTATGGCCAACAGGAATAGTGTCAGATTTTGAACAACAAAATAAAACTTTTAAGAGTATGCTACTTCAAATAGGGAAGGAATGTTCACATTTTTGTGTCAGCTCCTAAAAACTACACAGAGTTTTCACTTGTTTTTTGTTTTAAAACTTAACAAAGCTCTGGATCTTATAGTCAATTTACTTAAAATTACTCATTTTGGCCTCTAGACTATACTGTACCAAAGTTCATTGTGTTTGTCTCCTACAGCAGCTCTTGCATTGTTAAGAGTAAGCCCTTTTCACTGTTGTACAATGCGAAACACAATGCTGTCGGCAGTCCTGACAGCAAGCGGCAAACTCAGGCTTCATTCCCAGGCCAGACACTAAGGCATTGTATAACTCTGTTCAAGCCTCATAAACCTATCCATGCTTCAGTTTCCCCATGATTAACCAGTAACGTTTTAACACTATCTGCCACTTCCTTTCTTCAGGAGGATGTTATGAGGCATGGGTTCAATGCATTATGCTACTAAGAAAGGCACCACATGGGTAAATAACTATTCATCAAGATGCTCTTTTTCCCAAGGTATCTTGGAAGATAGTTAGCTTCCTTGGGCAAGGGCCTGGCAGCCCAACACACAGCCCAGACCGTAGCACTGCCCCTTCCATCAGCCCACAGCAGCCTCCAGATGCTCCGTCCCATCCCAGTTCAACTAAAGACACACAACCCTTGGGCCCTCCCTTGTAGCAGGACATAGAGAACAGAGCCAGTCTAAAATATAACTATACCCTCTGGGGGGGTCAACCAAGGGCATGGTCCTCGTTGCCTGCTTCAGTTTACAGGTCTTTCCACAGTTATGACTTACTCCTTTTTTTAAAACCCAGTGTATCTACCATATCATGTCAGGACACAGGATTTTTCCCCCTAGCATGTGCCCACAAGCTTCTGCCAGAGTTGTAGGTGAGGAAATGGTGTGTCAATGTCTTGAGAGAGGACACAGACCAAAATCACCAGTAATAACTCTGCCTGTGTCATGGACTTTGGACAAATGAAATAATTGCATCATCTATAGCTGAAATATGAATTAGCTAAAAAGCAGAAGCAAAGACCTCAGGAATATTTGCTTGAAAAGGAAGGTGATCACATGTATTAGAAATAAAAATCAGCAAAAGATAAAATTGCCAAGGGTAAAATGAGGACTTGCATTTCAGTCTTGTGGCCTAGCACCAGGTCAGCAAGATCATCTTAAAACGCCCTGAATTCTGTTAGGGGCAGTGCCAGATGTTTGGTAGGTCTGGCAGACCACTGTACAGTGAATAACCGCTCAGCAAGTCAACACTATAAAGCACTAATTAAACATTTAACCGTACATTCCATTCCCCCTTAATGACTCCAGCTCCCCTCCAACTCACTCACTAGACCCTCAAACAGTCTGAGCACTTAATGTTTCTGTGCCGCCCTGGTCCTGTGCGCTCAGAATGAAAAGTCCTCCCTCCTCTTTTCTATTTAGAAACTCCTACTCAAAGTTTTGCTTAGATAGCACCTCCTTTGGGAAATCTTCAATTCCCTTGGAAAGAACTAATCCTTTCTTCCATTCCTTGGTCCTATA